AGATGTGTATAAGAATATATATATATATATACATACATACATACTTATATGTACGGTTGGGTCAAATTTGTGTGGTGGTTGAAAATTACAGGGGGGGTCTTTATGGCCCAAAATAGTGATTTCAGACTACATTGGTAATGTAATTCGACAGGCAAATTACAGTAACATTTTTAGCAAATATCTTTGAAAAAATATCGTAGGCATAGGGCCTAGCTACGTATACAGTATTTTCCTTTTACAGTACGTAGTTTGGAACGATATCGGAAGTGGGGGTGCTGGCAGTGGCCTGCTAATAGGACTACACTTTATTTGAAAATATCTTGGGTCCGATCGTCCACACCAGTTGGGCCCAATCGTCTATCACCCGAAGTTTTCATTACGATTATCAAGAACGTACACGATCTATGCCCTGGGCTAGGCTTAGCTTGCTGTCGTCACTCTGCTACGTTTACTACACTACAACCGCATAACAAAGAAAGCGACCCACGTGGTGCATTCTTAAATATTACACACATTATTTAATTGTATTAGACGATAACACGATATCATTGATTGAACGATCTAACTAGGCCTACCCTTGCATCGCAGTAATACTGAACTAGGACTAGCTTAGGCCTCATGTTTTTGTGGAAAGCTAGATAGTCGTTATGTACCCGACAGTCGACTGCCTTTATATTTTCACCTGTTTTCAGTTTGCATTCTAAGGGTACATTGCTGCACAGCCAACTGTCGGGGATATAGTACCTTCATATGACTACTCATACGTATACAACAGAAAAAAACGTCGCATGGACCATGGAGGTATACCTCCATGCATGGACTAAGTGAAAAATGGAGATCTAAATGAAGAAATGATGTATTTCAGCAAATATTAAAACATTTTAGTTTTATTTTAGGCCTTCTTCAAAATACCTATGCCTACAGCAGATGATTTTTTTGCCGTAAAACTAAAATAGTTTCATCCAAGCTGACATTCCGGTCGGTTAGCGTGAGCCCTGACTGAACTCTGCAGAAGCTTCACATCGATCTTCGCATCGCGATGTAAAACAAAATGTCAGAAAACTTTTCTTTGACGCATGCGCATTTGCATAAATGTCTACACACACACATACACACTACACACAATAAAAAACATAGGAAAAGGAAGAGTGATTACAATAGTTCCTATTGCATTACATGCATAAGAACTAAAAAATTGCACATGCATGAAATATGAAAGAAAATGGTTTAACTTGCTTTGGGGCAATTCCATGCAAAACAGGACATGGCACCTAAATTTTTAAAATAGTGATATCCTACCAAATTAAAGATGAAATTCTGAACCTTCATGAAATGGTCTTAGTTTTCAAATTTTTATACTCACTTCAATTTTGTATAAGAAATACAATTAATGTTATTTTTTCCCAAAAAATGAATAAATTAGGCCAACTTTTAGAGTTTTTAGTTTATGCTCTTTAACATATTTCACCAACATAACTGATTGGATTAGTAATTATTAACATTATATGTGCTATATTCATGAATTCATTTTATTTTGTGTACTTCGTTCTGCTACAGCAACTTGACGATAAACTACAATGTAAAATGTCCCGAAGTTACCAAAAAAGTAATATTTTTTTTATTTCTCGAAAAGTACTTAAAAAATAAGAGAAAATTTATTATTCAAATCATAAGCATATATGTGAACAACATAAACATGGATTGAAAAAAAAAAATTATTTCGTTATTATAGCAATTTAAAAAGTGTCCTGACGTGGCTTTTTTGGTAACTTTGTGACGGTAACACTGTTACATCCTATTTAAATGCACATGGGACTATTCCACGGTAACTTCGGGACACTTTGACACAAAATTTGAGACTTTATGTGCATACAATATATATAATTTATTCAACAAGCAATAAATCACAGTTACACTTTTTACTTGCTACTGCTACCTACATTTCTATTGAAAAAAAACCATAAATATCTACAAGCATATATTAAATATGAATTTTATTGTCTCCGATAACTTCGGAACATGAAATAGGACATAGTTTTAACATTTTTTTAAACATAAAAGTCTGTGAAAAAGGCATATTATACACTTTTTTTAATGCACTGAAGAAATATTTAGCTTTCATATATCCTTAATACAAATATGTTATGATTTCTATTAATATAATGATCATTTAAAAAAATCATGTGACATAGACTAGTTATAATTAATCAGTAATTTATACCTAATTGTTTATTATTGTATACGCACCTGTAGAGTACAAAAACAGTGATACTGTAAAACCTCGAATTGAAGCCCTTCGAGGCCACTTTTGCAAAGTAAAAAAAAAAAGGGGGGGGGGCTTCGGCTTCTTTTCAAAATATATGCTGTAAATTTTTGGAATTAGTACTATAAAACAATAAATAGGGCCACTGTAACATGATTCTATATCATGGAGTTTATTAACAAGCGTGTGTTAAATTTATTTAGCTCCTTTGAAATTCATGTACAGTGTACGTACTGTACTAATACTATCTCGAAAAGCAGTCTATACGTTAGGCTTCTTTTCAAGCCTAATTTTGAAAACTAAATAGGGGGGCTTCAATTAGAGATAAACTTCTTGATATTAAGCCCATTGGGCTTCAATTCAAGGTTTTACGGTATCTCAATGCAAGTAATTTAAAATTTTGGAGTTTTATATTATTGGTTTTTTTAATGCATTCAAATTTTTTTTTTTCTAGTGAGTGCTAGCTAAAATATTGTTGTTGATGCTCTTCAAAATACATATACATAATATATATATATATATATATATATAAATATATATATATATATAAATTCTAAAAGGCAAATGGCCACATAATGCAAAACTATTTAAAATTAAAACGGAACAGTAGAGAAGATCCGATCAGAATGACAAAATAAACTAAGTATCCACTGGAAGGAATCCCGTATAATTATTGTGTATATTATTATTATTGTTAAAGTTAGCTACTGTGATATAATTTTTAATTTAAAAACATTCTTAAAAAGTGATACAAATGTAAAATATTACATTTGATAATACTGTAGACAGCATTAAATCATGTTTGTTTTGTACAAATTAGATAAGAATACAACATTTGTTTATGTTTTAAGACCTTTTAAAGGAAAATTTACTCATCATTATGATGTCAATCTTTTGTCCAGAAGTTACTGTCCCGAAATTACCACATGATTTTTTAAAATGATCATCATATTAATATAATCATCATAATATATTTTTATTAAGAATATCCTATTAAAGCTAAATATCTCTTCAATGCATTCCATATCAAAAAATGCATAATATGCCTTAAGTTTCACAGACTTTTATGTTTAATAAGTTAAAACTCTATGTCCTATTTCATGTCCTGAAATTACCGGAGATACTAAAATTAATATTTAATATATGCTTGTAGATATTTTAAAGTTTTTTTTTTTCAATAGAAATGTAGGTAGCAGTAGCAAGTACAATGTGTAACTGTGATTTTTTGATTGTTGAATAAATTATATATATTGTACGCACATAAATTCTAAAATTTTGTGTCAAAGTGTCCAGAAGTTACCGTGGAATTGCCCTTTGGTATAAATATTTGAGTATGAACAGGATGGATAATATACTTTTTAATATGTTATGTTCTTGTTTAACAATTTCTACTAATTCTTAACAAATAATAATTATGTACCATACTATTTAGAATGGAACCCCATGTTCCTCATTCCTTCCAAGGTCTATTACTATTATCAATGACTCAATGCTCAATGATGTAAATCAGTGGTCTCTTATACACATCTAGATGTGTATAAGAGACAGGTTTTACGGTATCTCAATGCAAGTAATTTAAAATTTTGGAGTTTTATATTATTGGTTTTTTTAATGCATGTAACAACGCTAAAGCTTATTAGATTACAGTTGATGAAAATCCTTCACAGGATCATTAACCCGTTGAAACAACATTAAAAGCAGGTCTAAATGCTCTCTCCTCGCTCTTTCATCACGCTCCCTTGTTTTTTCTCTTTGCCTCTCCTCACGTTCTCTTGCTTCTTGTCGCTGCCTTTCCTCTCGTTCTCTGGCTTCTTGCCTTTGCCTCTCCTCTCTGTCCATTTGCCATCGCATCCTTTTTTCCTCCATTTCTAATTCCATCTTCTTAAATTCACAGAGCATCTTCCTGTCTCTCTCATCTGCTTCTTCATTTACCTGTAACATTTTATTTACCAAATCAGTGGTGGATGCTGAGGCCAGATCATTTCTTCTCTTTCGAGTGGCTGTAAAAAAGTGAGATGTCTAAATTTTAGTACTGCTGATTTTTCTGCCGAGACAAAAAAAAAAGAAAGAAACCAAATGAACTTGCATGTTTTAGCTGCCATTGTTTTTTTTTTTTTTGGTTGACCAGGATTATCTAGCTTCTCCGTTTCAATTGGCTGCTCGGTTTCAACTGTTTGGACTGTGTCATCTGTTAAAAACAGGTGAAAAAGCAATTTTTACAGTTTGTAAATGTTGGAAGGGAAAATTAATTGGCCTAAATACAATTTCAGTTAATAAGTTATCGTACTGTACCTCCAAAACTCTCAGGTACCGACTCGCTTCCATCTATATCCGAGAAACTGCTATCCAAATGCAGTGGATCTACATTAATAAAGAAAGTTTTTTTTTTACTATCTCTAATATGTATTTTTAAAGCTCAAATGTTATTAAACTACAATAAAAAGATCCAAGAGTCAGGATCGCACCAGAAAGGATGATAACAAACAGGATACAACAGTATACAGGGAATTGTAAAAATATGGTTTTCCAAACAACTGTTATAATTTATTTTATCGGACCATATATTTCATATTAAAATGTATGGGAGCCCAGTCTTGGTACACTCACTTTGAATCAGCCTAAATTCATTGTAATAATTAGATAATATAATAAACAAACCTGAACTTCCATTAATACTAGAAGCTGTTGCATCGACATCCAACAATACATCTCTGTCCATGTGTAAATTTAGTATGGCTACATTCATTGGACGTTTACCTGTGTAATGTAACAATACAACAACATATTTATAAAAAAAAACATGCATACGAAAATGACTATACAGTAATTACTGGTTTTATCAATTCTTTGTCTTATAACATTGCTTACAGTATTAAACTTTGTAAACAAACACGATTTTATTACTGTATTAATCAATAAACTCTAAACTAAATATTATGAATCATTGAATAAAAATAAAGAAAATGGTGTACTGCAATTTTAAAATTATAGGACCTAACAAATTAATTTATTCAGTTCCTCTAAAAATAAAATTCAATGTACAAAGAAAGAAATTGCAAATCAACTACTTACTACCTATTACCACGAATGGGAAGTAATTTACAAATAACAGTAATGTACACATCACTGTGTAAATGTCAACTGACTGCGAACATTGATATTTTTCAAAATTATTGTTGATTTGGTTGGTAGATTAGTCTGTACTCACCTAGAATTGAATCAATTTCCTCGTAGTAGGGGCATTCTTTCCTTTCCCTACCTGATTGTTGGTTGTTTCTTTTTGCATTCCTGTAACTTCTTTTTAGGTAGGCCCAGCGATCGCGGCACTTCTCCCATGATCGGTCTCCAGCCCCCCTCGCCTGCAACTCCGAGGCCACACGCTCCCATATTTGAGCATTGTGGACCATGCCATCAAGTCCCGCTTGTATTTCCGGGGAGCCCACAATGTCGATAAGGCACAGTGTGTCTCTATGCGACCAATTTTTCTTTCTTTGTTGTTGTTTGACTGGTGCTGCCTCCGTCGCAGAGACAACTACAGGGCCTAATACCGGATCAACTATCGTAGTACTCGTCGACAGGATTTTTTTTCTATGCGAAGATCGCGCGAAAAAAAAATGATGTAAACATAATATAGCGCCCCCAATAATGCAAAATCATTATTCTTCCGAGTTCTCCCGAGATTTCTCATGGTTTGAAAGTGCATGTGTGAAACGAACCAACAATCTCGGAATATCAAACTTGTTACAACTTGTTAATAGTTGTTAAAAGTTGTAATATTTTCTGCTAGTGTGAAATGGGTATAACACATGGAGTTAGTGGGAAGTGGGAACTGGAATGAAACGAAGGTGCGTCACTTATTTTACGATAACGGGAAAACTATACAATATTTTTGAATGCCGTTTTCAATATTTAGAGATGAGATATGTGAAATATAGGATCCGAAATTATAATGAATTACGTTCAGTAGTTTTTAAATTATAATAGTTCAAAAATTGACTTTACATTTTTATGGCATGGTGACCTCAGCGTGCGGGATTTCGTTCACTGATAAAGTGATTAGCGATTGAAGTGTCTATAACTAGCCTAGGATGTGCCTCTTGTGTCTTGGTTGGAATGGATGAGGGAAAGACATACGATTAAGAGGATGTGATAAGACTTCCACCCTGTTTGCTATCGTCGTTACATCGACACAAAATCGATAGCAATGATAAGTTATCATTACCAAGTGTAGTGTAGTCCCGCCAGTACCTTACCCAGACACATTGTACAATGTATTAAAAATATTCTTTAAAAAAATGGTGCTGACTGTACAGGCCCTACCCCACTTAGCTTCGTGAGTGGATTTCCCGTACGATTGAAAATCGTAACGGTACTGGGT